GAAAAATCTCACTGACCTCATTAATTCAACTAACAAGAAATAGTCTCCTACCCATGTTATTTTAGACAAAGACATATATTCTACTCTGGTGCCCACCCATCTGGTTCCTCAGCATGAAAACATTTCCAAAAAGCCCAGCTCACTACAGCCACTCTGTCACAGGAAAATTCCACCCACACTTTGTGAAATAGTAAGACAAGAGGTTTGGAATATGACAACTCAAACTCACTTTAATAAGTGCAAATGCAGGGCACAAAATCACTGTAAAAAGCAGATTTCATTCTTTGTGCAGCATCCAGAGAACATTGAGATTTTACACAGAGCACTAAGAAATGAATGAAAAAGAAAATATATAGACTGACTGCAAAGGAATTTGGTCACAATGGGAGTCCTAATGCAGAACTGCATCACTTTTACTCAAAGAAAGAATGGAAGTATATTCAAGCTAACTTGCCTATAACAAAAAAGAATTTTAGGGGGTAAATAGTAGGGATAATTGCTCTACACTTCCAGTTCCTTTTAGCTGAAATGCTTACAAGTGTGTGTGATTAATGGCAATCTGTCACCATCATTGCCTCTCAGAGAAGGCCAATGTGCAGCACTTCTGCCAGCATATATTAGTTTGCCAGAAGAAAACAGAAAATCTAAAGCCAGTCTTACACCTTACAGAGCCAGAAGTGCCAAAGACTTGAGCAACTGTCAGAGAGATCTCAGAAGAAAAGCTGGCCAGCCAAGTGGAAATATTAGCCAAAAGCAAAACACTTCCAGAAAAACGTGTCTGAACAACAATTTCCCTCATTTTTCTTACAAAGATTCATGAGGAAGGCAGAGCAGGAAGAAGGTAGAAGGAAAACTTTGCTGAAATGGACCAGAAGTACAAGTCTTTGTTGACCAGATTGTACTTACAGGTGTTATACTGGATATGTCAAAATAATTTATTTTAATAGGAATATTAAAAACGTAGATTATCTCAAAAATTTGGAAAAAATTTCCAGCTGCTCTTGTTATCCTGTTTCTCTCTCCAGTGTGCACATGAGCAACCACAGGACACAGGGGTTTTTCTTAATTTATGCACAAATACACTAGATTACCTTTTGTTCAATAAAGTAGAAATTTATTCTGAAAGCACAAGCTTCATTTTGATATAGTTATTATGAACAATAGATTAAGGTCAATTATCATGCAACATGCAAGGGGGTTTAAGCAAAGAATATAATACTGTGAGATATTCAGATAGGTGCCATAGTGCTCCTCACATTCAATCACTTACACTTTAAGCTTCTGCAAGAGTGTAGTATAAATAACAAGGGCTTATATAACAGCACAACTTCTACTATTGTCAGAGACAATCCCAGTAAACTGAATTCAGCACACTTCTGAAGAATTTGAATTATCTGATGCAGCCCTTAGTCATTCTTTTTTAATCTAAATACAATTAATCACAAAGGCACTTAAAGTTTCTGAGATTTGGCAGCTTGAATTCTAGGTCTAAAGCAGAATATGAAGAGAATAAGGAATATAGTACATACCCTTTGTTGGCTTCCTTGAACCTAAAGTACACAGATTTCACAATCACAAATAAATAAAATGAAAAAGAATAATATTCTTCACTATTTCCTCATCTGTGGAGATTCCATTAGTAATATTTAAGATTCATACCATTTAAATATGAATGGTTAGGAAGTGGGATGTGCCAAGAAGTAGAGCTTTTACTGTTACACTTTAAGATCTGTTTAAAAATTAAGTTGTTGGTCCTGAACAGATTCAATGGATGGGAGTCTCCAAAGATTTTTTTTCTTGGCACAGCACAAGGAAAACACTGAAACAGTTTGTAGTGCTTCATATAATCTCCAAATATGCATCAGTTGTTTCTGGTTTTCACCATATTCAATTAGAGTCTTGAAAAATACATATCCAGAACTTGTTCTTCAGCTTTTTTGTTGTTTTTACCAGTTACCAATAGAAACAGCTAAAATTTTTGTGTTATGTGTTACTCCCTGTAAATGCCCTTCCACAGCTTCAGGAATGTTTCTCCATCTAGCCTGTTCCTGTGGTACAGGGATCAGTAAGAGGACACCCAGACTCATGGTCTGAGTACCAGTGCAGTGGCCCAGCAGCTCAGTCTCATCCTGATAACCTCATTCTGGCAACTGAGATATATTGATATATCAATACATTCCAGACCATTTATATCCCTTTTCACCTGGATGTCTTATATGAATTTCCTTCCTGAGAATCATGCAAACTCTTAGCAACAAAAAGATAATATAAAAACCATTCTTTGTTTCAGTTCAGGGAGAAAGGATGTGTGTTAGCTGTATAGTAAGATTGTACCAAAAAATGGATAGTAATATGTTCCTCCTTCACACTTAGCCTTGTAAGATAATATAAAAACCATTCTTTGTTTCAGTTCAGGGAGAAAGGATGTGTGTTAGCTGTATAGTAAGATTGTACCAGAAAATAGTATAATAGTATGGATAGTAGAAAATAGGATAGGATATGTTCCTCCTTTACACTTAGCCTTGCCTTAAAAATCAATCAAAAGAACAACTTGCAGTGATTTATTCCATTTTTTAAAGTAATTTAAAGAACACTAACCCTCAATACAAAATTAAAAAAGAAATCAATTCTTTGGTCCAACCATTCCCGCAACTTAGAAACTAACTATATATCGGTAAACATTTACACAAAAGAAGAAAAAATAGGCACACACACCTAGCATAAATAACATAAAAGCCCATAAAAAAAGAGATAAAAGAATTTCAAGTAGAATAGCTCACTGTAGATAGGTTCTCCATAAGCTGCAAGGTACACTTTTTTTCACCCTTTTTAGCTCAATTCCTTCTCTCACCTTTTACTTAATATATTTAGTGTCTTCCTTGATTAACCACACATACAGTGCTCTCTCCTTTAGAGCAAAGACCTCAGACAAAGTATATCCAGAATACCAGAACATAACAAACCCTGCCAAATTTCTATAAAATCAATCTTTCCTCAGAGAAAGAATTAAAATATTCCATCAAGACTCCAGGATAAAACCATTCCTGTCTAAAAATTGATGAATAGTAAAAGTAAGAATTTATGTTTCACAATGAAATCTTTGCATCTTTGGAAGTGTTTCAAGTACTGTTCTATATAATCATTTTATCAATTATTGTTATTTAAAACATCTATTTTCCCCTGTAATCTTTTTCTATAGTTTTTATTTGCAGACTATAACCAAAACATGATGTAATAAATAATGAAGTTTATATTTTACTTCTTTCCAGACACGGAATTCTAGGAGACAAATTATTTATGCATTAGTTTAGATTCAGAACAACTTTATGGCTTCTCTTTATGCAGCTTCAAATACACCAGCTAGAGATTAACAGACATGAGATGGATCTACCCAAGTCAGTACGAGCTCTAATGCCACTGATCATTATGTGAAATATAAGATGTTCTTTTTACTTGCTACAGAAAACATGTTGTGCTGATAATCTAGTAGAAGCTTTCCATAACATTTGTGGAAAACAAATCATCATAACTTAAAGATAATTTTAAAATGCTGCATTAAGTCTCCTGCCCAGGGAAACCCTTAAAATTCTGCTGATTTGGCAAAAAGATGCATCTATTGCTCATTGCTCCATGAAGTAATGAGAACAGAATCCCAAATAATCCAGGTATTTCTGCCTGCAATAACCATTTTTCTAGTAGGAAAAAAAAAATCTCTGTAATACAAGTAGCATGTCAATTAACAAAAAGTAGCCTGACAGCAGCCTTAGCAATATTGCTCAAGATTAATGCTGATTTGCAGCTTACAGCTATTTAACTGTTACTCAAAATCAGTCTTGCTCTGTAGGTGGGAGATTGGTTTTCCTAAAAACACTATTTTCCATGACTTGAAACATTGCAGGGGAGTGGAAATCATGGTTCAAAAATCCAGAGCTTTTTTAATTGTAGCAAAAATTGACATTACATATCAACATAGCCTCTAGTGACTAGTCATTCTCTTCAGAGGATCCTTCAGAGCCCTGAATTAGGCTAGCAGTGCCCTATGAATATTTTTCCAGAAAAACTTCATCTCTTTAACTTCCCCTATTTTAAAACAAAAAAATAAAACTTGGAATTCATCTATTTCTTATTATTTAATAGTACCATGAATTATTTCCTGGTAACTAATTGCAGTTTGTGAGCCATTTGAGAAGAGATCACTCTATGCTTGTGATTCGCTGCTTAGTCATATAAATGGCAAATTTTATTTTCCAACTGAATAATGTTGGCTTAAAGTTAGGAATTCTAGACAAGAAAAATGTGAAGGTAATATTTATTTTATATTTTAAAATAATTTTCTCTCTCCTCATATACCTAGTTCTGCACACTGATCTAATAAATAAGTACCATTATATACACTAATAAAAAGACTATACTTTCACAAAAGGGATTACAACACAAATATGTAGCAAAATACAGAGGGTGGTACAGGAAAGGAAAGAATTCTCAATGTGGAAGGGTGTGCTTAAAGGGTACTTAATAAACACCCAAATATTGAGTTTTCCTGGAGAAAACTTGAAGGAAGTTACAGCTGTTGAATCTGCTGTACCTTGCTGAAAATTGAAGTTTTCTCTGCTGCCAATGAGGAAAGTAGAGGACAGTGAATCAATGATCCACATTCAGCAGAGTCCTCTGGACATGCCTGTTCAGAGCCTCAAAACAATAAATCTTCATTCAGATTCCAGCCTTTACTCTGCAGTGAAAATGCCCTCAGGAGAGCTGTAAAACATTTTTTGCAGCCATTCCCAACAGCTGAGAAAACACTCCTCAAACCCTCCCACAGAAACATCCTCAGCAAGGAACAAACAAAGAGTGATGATGTTATTTTGTGTGAAAACTCATACTTGGACAACATCATTACAACAAAGTACTTGGTTCCTATGTTCAAAAGCAACACAGAACTTTCTCCTTTTCCCTGAAGAACAGAAACACAAACCTTAGAGTCAAATAGAATACAAACCTACCTGGACATCCCTCTTTTCTCCGAGTACAGCAAGTTCCAGCAGAAGTGAACCAGGCTTGAAGGCAGCCATGGAGGAAACCACGTAGGATCAGAGACAAGCTCAGCAAACAGTGGAGCCAGGTTAGCTGGACTGTCTGAATTAACTCCCTTGAGCAGAGCTTCTGCTTCAAACTTCTACTGAACTGACCCAGGGATATTTCCCCACACTGCAAAGAAATTCTGCCCTCAGAGCAAAATTTGCTGTTTTCTGGAATGGGCTCATGGTGAACAGCTGCAGAGCCTGCTCTGTTTACAGTGAGTAAATGCTTTTGCAGAGAATACTGTTCTTGGAAAACATTTGGCTCAACATTTCAGAGGCAGAATGAGCACAATCTCACAGGATGAGCCTATATTTTTGGGAGCTGATATTCAGAGATACAGGAAAATTCTATCACATTGCTGTAGTGTTCACAACATTAACTGTAAGCAAAACAATTGAATCCAAATATTGTAGTGACCAATCATCCTCTCTGATCTTTTTAAAAGTCACACTGAAGTTGACTTTTGACAACTGATCCCAAAGCTTATATTTTTCCAACATTAGAAAAAACATCTACCAAAAGTTGTCTGGAGCAGGGATGCAGAGTTTCGAGCTTCCCTAGATGAGCAACAAAACCACTGCAGAGTGAGGTACAATACCACTGCTATTCATGCAGTCTAGAAAAGCCATGCAGAAAAAAAGAATATGCAGAACTTGAGAGAAGAACAATTATTTTGGCAGTTACTAAAAATAGTGACCCTGAGGTCAGGGTTTTGCAGGGTACCTACAGAGGTTTTCAGTGTAGCAAGCTCCAAAAGAACACCAGTAGGATTTTAAACTCCTAGAAGACAAGTTTCATTGGAATTAAACTGAAAGTTTCCATCTTAAGCAGAAAAGGCAAAAAGGAAAATTAGAACAGAACACCATAAGAATGAAATATAAACAATTCTTCCCAGCCAATTGTCCATGTTGGCACACCTTTAATTCCAGAATTGATTTTCCTAATCTTATAAATATTCTGAGATGCAGAGAAGTCTACCCAGCCTCAGTATAGGTTCTTCAGATGCCTCTAAGGCCAGGGTGGCTGGTCCCAATTTGGGGTTTCTCACATGTTGCCACTACAGCCTTCATAACCTTGTCTCCAGGCATGCTCAGTTCCACCCACTTATCTTAGAGAAACTTGAGGTCACAGCAAGCAGAAAAAATGAAAACATCAAATACTGCCCATAAGAGAGAAACAGAAAAAGGAAAAGATGAAATGGAAGAAACTACCTGGTGAGTTATTTATTTTCACAAATTCAGAATAAACTTCTTTGCCTTCAGAATATTGCATAATTCAAGCACACATTCCCACACGGGAATTCTTAGTTGGTAGAGAGAGTAAAAAATTGTGCTTTTCAAAGAGAAGGTACATAATTTTAGTTTCTAGAAGAGTTCCATAACAGAATAAACAAGTATTTTAAAGTCCTAGTGGAGATTTTCTAAAGAAAAGGTATTTCAAGTATGATTTTTTAGAGAAAATATCTCTCAATCTCCTTCTTTCTAAAAGAATCATTTAAATATTAGTAAACACTACAACACCTAAATACCAGTAAAGGATAGAGGAAAAAAATACCTGAAGTAGCTCACCTGATGAAGCCTCAAATGCAAACTTCTAAGGAAACAGACCATGAAAAAAGGCCATTTTCTTTTTGACATTCCTTCAACTCCTTTCTAAAAGGAGGAGAGTAAAGGGGGAAAAAAACCCACTAAGACAAAACTAAAACGGCTTTTGCATCGTCTTAAAAGTAAAATAGCTTATTACATACACTGGAATAAATATAAATGTGCAAAGCTGCAGAATCTGGCTCACTAGAGTTTGTGATTTCTGCTACAGCTTTACAAAACATTAAATATTTCCAGGAAGATCGAGAAAAGCCTTTGGATCAAGCTGCAAGTGTAAAAAGCAAATCACCAGAAAGTTTCTCATGCATAATCCTGCATTCTGACTCAGAGGCTCCCATCACTTGTCACCCCTACCATGAGAACTGCCACTGTCCAAGAACTGTAAAATCTCTTCCGACACTGGTTATAACAATTTGAGAGTTGGCCATTTAAATCTGGCACATAATATCTTCTGTCAAAATAATTACAGTCTTTTGGGAAAGCTTTTCCTGTACTGTCTGGATTTCTTTGTGCAAGGTTGTCCCCTTGTCATTTGCAAACACATCCATAACATTTTAATGGCAACTGCTGGACCTTCCACTCTGCTACTGAGCTGTCTTGAGTAATTTTGACATATTTTATTCCCTAGACTAAGACTGACAAACAGTTTGGGCTGACAAACTGTACCAAGCAGCCATATCAGTAATTACCAAAAGCAGCTCAATCTTAACTATTGAAGCCACTGAAATGTTTCAAATTCAGAAGCTTATATAAGTAGTTTCTCTGAACAAAAACATTACAATTCTTAAAAAACCCCACACGACCATAAACAGGTATTCTTTGGCAGTGAATTTTTAAGTACTTTCCAGTTCTCTTCCATACTGCTGTTACATTGTTCTCTTCCTGCTACATCTTTTGAGGTTTAGACTAAAAATGAGGTACAATAATCTAACTCATTACCAGTCTTTGCTTGCATTTATAGGTCAGCTAAAGACTACTAAATAAGGATAGAGAAAAATCACTAAAGTAGCTCACCTGGTGACATTTCCATCAATTAAAACCTACCTAGTAAGGAACACATGCAATGACCAAAAAAAAAAAGTTTTCCTTTTTACTCCACTTCAGACTACAAATATGGTATAACTGCATTACCATTGTATTACAAGATACCAGAAGCTGAGTCTTTCCTGTGGTCATTAAACCTGACTTCAGAGGTTGGATAGATTTTTCATAAAAACACAATTTAATTCTGATTTAGCATCAGTCTCTCTCAATTTTCAATTAATGAAACCAGAAAATCTGAGAAAATTTTTCTCTAAAAATCACTGGAGTGCACTATTCCTGAAACAGAAGGTCATGGGGTGATGTGACAGTAATGACAATATGCTTGTAGGGCCAGTGAAGCACAGCAGACCCCGAGAGCTGGCAGGGCTCCCCCCACACTGCTCCCTGGGCAGAGGGTCAGGCATGACAAAGGCTGAGCCCTGTGGCCACCAGGAGCCAGGGAGCTCGAACCCCAACCTCAGCACAGGCTCACTGGGAGGTAAAGCAGAGTTCAGGACAGGCTTGAGCACTTCATGCCTTGAGGTCTGAATTCAAGCACACTGAGGGGCAAAGTTGTTATGGGAGCCCCCCATGAGCTGTGACCCACAGTTTCCATTGTGCAGGAATGTAACTGGCCCAGTACTGTCACCCAGCAAAGGAAATGGCTGAACTTGTCTCATCTTCTGGGGATTTTTTTTCAGAAGAAACTGTTCTGCCAGCACCTGCGGCCAATTCCTTCCCAAGCAATAGGAAAACCCGAAGACAAAGAGCTGAGTGCAAGCAGCTGCAGCTGTGCTGGTCGCTGCAGAGCCTGTCCCAGGCAGGCAGCATCCATCAGCTGTGGCTGGGTGCTGCACAAAGGCTGACACAGCTGAACCATCCTGAGCCTGCCCCGGGCAAACAGCAGGGCATTTCTCTGAGCACAGGATGGCTCCAATCAGCTTTGTGTCAGAAATCCGTGGTGCATCAGGCATGGGAATCAATAACAGCTTCCTCTGTTGCCCACATCTTTACTACATTTGTATTTTAAATTAAATAGAGCTTTATTTAAACTGCTGTCTATGACTGTGTTTTGGTATGCACCACATCACATCATTTGAGTATCTAGCTCTTGCATTTCTGTGGGGTGACACACATACTTCTACATCCGAGATGTTTCAGTTATAAAAAAAGGCAGGGGGAAAAGACTGTTTGAACATAAAAGTTTACAGTAATTAAACAATTATTTGCATTTTTTCTTTTCAGTGAAGAACAAGTTGAACTTAATTACCCCTTTCCAAAGGGAGTCTTCAAATAATTTTAATTAATTAGGAACAGTTTACCAAGATCTTTGCCTTAGCCTTCTGCTTCTCGAGGTCTGAATAAAGAACAGAGGAAGACAACTGGAATGTCACCAGGAAGAATTACTGAGCCCACTCCTCTTGGTCATTGCACTGAACTGGCATAATAAAAAGGTTTTCTCTTCCTATCCTCTCATTGCAATAGGGATCAATTTGCATTGAGCTCATAAATCTATGAAAGACAGATTGCACAAGAGACTGCCTAAGAATAAAAGCTTCTAAAGCATTTTTAAATTTAAAACCACACAAAAATATAAGTATTTATCTTAAGCTCAAAGACATGTAATCTTTGTTTCTGTTAATCACTCTCATGAAAACATTGGATCATTGGATTTTTTTTTTTATTTCTCTGGTCTGTGACCAATTCCAGCTAGCAGATTACAGTTAAAATGGAAAAGGAGTTTCTCACCAGATTATTTTCACAGAAACTACTGAAGTGTGTCTTCCACAGGTCAAGTTCCAAAGGCCTGAACATTGACCCAAGAGACAGAGAGCAATACAAAGATTAATCTGAAGCACACACAGCTCCAGAAGATGTCTTTTTGGTCCAGCATTTTAAAAAGTACCAAGACTCAACCACTTGCAAGAAGGCATTTCTAACAATTAACTGTAACTAGAAGAGGAATATATCTTTTGTGTAAGATATGGTTAAAGTAACAGGATACTCCCATAAAATGCATGCCCTCTATGTCTGGACAGCATCATGTTTACACACTAAACAAAATGAAAATAAACAAAATTAACAGCAAGTCTCTCTGGACATTCCGTTCACTTTACCTTCTCTGCACACATACTTAAATACAAAAGCCAATGGAATATCTGCAGTAAATAATCAATTATTGGTTTGAGGTCTTATCCACTAGATTAACATCCACTGACAAAAGTTTTACATCTACATTATAAAAATATTTTTAATTCTCAACCTTCACACATACATCAAAAATAATTATAACAATTTGCAGTAACTAACACATACAAACACACATTAATTTTATTCTACACTTTTTTTGCAATGCATGTTTCAATATAATGCTTTCAACCTCTTAACAGACTAACACTGATGGTCACAAAAAGCTGGAATAAAGCAATAAATGCTCTACAGACACTCAC